ACACAGACAGGGTCGTCCCAATATGCGTTTTTGCAATTTGCATATAGGCAAAAACGCATAATCAGTTTTGTTAATCTGATTAAATTTTGTGACCTTGGATAAATTTCCGCCTTTTCCATTGATTTTTGCACCTTCTAACCGAAATCTTTGCATTATTTTTTTCCATCCGAACATTTTCAGTGCCTTATAATATTTGCCACTGCTTTTTTTGTGCATGTTCAAACTGGTAAGGAACTGAAGGAGTGTGCCACTGGAGCGAAGAAATGATTCCGGGAAAGGCTAGAAAAAAGGCATAGACAGTCGAAAGCAAGCTGCAGCTGATTGAGATTAATTTTCCTCTCCCCAAGAGATCGAACAATTTCCTGTCCACATCTCATCCGCGTTACATCCATCAACCATAGCTACTGTGGCTGACACGCAAGTCGATGACAACGACAAAATCCACGGGCACACATCTAGCCAGTGTTCTGGCATGCAGAATTAATTCGTGACATCAACAAATTTATTGTTACGTTTATTAAAAATAGAAATTTGAGCGAAAGAGGAAAAGGGTGAGGCAGAGGGGAAGGGGCTTCATCGGTCTAAGAAATAAATTCAGTGGATGAACAGCGGTGTATTCAAAATGAGTCTTCAAGCCCTTCTCGCTTTCGTGCTCAAGATGCATGAGTCCTCGATGCGGAGGGAGGGAAATAAAACCAAGCTTCAACAGAGGTTTACCAAGACCGGCACAAACTTCGCCGGAGAGAAAGAAGTATCACTGAAATAAAAGTAAGTATAAAATGACATGAAAATATCGAAAAACACTTAGGTTATATTCAGTCGCCTGGGGACAAATAATGAAAGCGGCGTCTTTTTTTTTTCATGCAACACCACATGGTTAAGTGCTTGTTGCGTTGAACGAACGGCCCCAAAACTAAAAAGCACTTTACTGTTGTTTTTCTTTGAACATGAGTAACAAAATTAAGCAGAAACTGGGCTTGGAGGTCAGAGGCCATAGAGGGATTTGAAAACAGATTTCAAATATGTGCCTGTCACAGATGACCGAACACTGTTACCAGAGGGATACCAAACTTCTGGAATTGCTAGCCCACGGGTCTAGCTTACAATCAGTCCCACTGTTAAAAGGAGTAGGCAGTGAACATAAAAAAGAAACAAAAAGGTGTGTACGACCAGGGAATCCGAGAAAAGTGCTTTAAAAAATGTTTTTGGATTTCGATGGGCCCTGCAATTCCGAAACGAATTTCAAATTTGATGAAAAGAGTGTAAATTTGTTCATAAAATGATGAGAACTACAGTTTCACAAATGAATTTGCACTACAGATACACTGGTGTGTTACGACGGCGCAGACTGCCTGCAAAAGGACAGTTGTGACGAATGCAGCGGGGTCGGCTGCATGCGGCTGAAAAGTTACAGTACTGAACACCTTCACAATGTCGCCTTAACTTGTTTACCGTATGCTACCAGGTTAGCTGATTAACCCAATAAGTAAAAGAAGGAAAACCCTGTTTGTAAAAGGGACAAAAAGTAGCGCAGCGAAAAAACATGCCAGTTGAACCTCTGAGAATACGAAAGGCTAAAGAAGAACTGTTCCGGATGCAGTCCTATTAATTTTATTAGGTTAGAAAATGCGATATCGTAGTATGCGCATACTGAAATAATTTTCTAATTCAAAGCTTCCGGTTAATTATGGAGTTTAGTAATAGAGAAACAATGAAAGAGGGATATTAAACTGACTGAGTCGACTACTCGTACAGAAATTTGGTAACTCAGAACTCTGCACGTTACAGAATTGGCACTATTCTTTTAGCAGGAACCCAAAAACACACTTCTCAGAGTGTTAGGCCAGGACAAGGTCGCAGTTCAGCGTCACCCTTGTCCGGCTTATTAAAGTTGCTGTTAACTCGTATGCTCAGTAGCCACACTGAGAGCATACTGCCCTCCTGTTCTTCACAACAGTTGGTACACAAGCGCATTAAGCACTGATGTGAGTTTTTTGGCAGATATTCAGGATAAATCGTTGAATCGCCAGTTGATTAGTCAGCAGCCAATGACTTTTTATTTGAAAAATTAATTTCTAGGCAAGTTGTGCGCCTTTCAAAAATTGTTAGATTGTCGGAAAAACAGAGCAGCAGTTTCGATATTTTTTCATTCATTTTCGTTTTCATAGTGAATCAATAAAAATAGCCGAAATTATGGCACAATTTTTATGCACCACAAAAAACCCGCCAAAACCATGGAGGGCTACATATCTCAAATCGAGCTATTTTTTACGGCGTCGGCTTTGTTTAGGATACGAAACGGGAAGAAATGACTGAATTTGTCACCAGATCATTCCAGGTACCACTTCGCACATGGCCAAAAAACTGAAAAAAGCCAAGGATATTGTAAGGGAATTTTAGCAAACAAGTTGATTTTCAAAAGTTACTTGAAAATCGGGCCAGTGTAAGCTCAGGACAAAATACAGCTCAGAAATTTTTGGTACCTGACCTTGGCATCACAAAAAACCGCCAAAACCGTGGAAGGCTCTTCTGCTGTAGAGGGCAAAATATCCCGACTAGTGCGATCCAGGATAACCAATCAAACTCGCTCGTCTTTACCAATATTTAGCCCTCATACTTGCTAGAAAACATCGTATGCTCTGCGCATTACAAATGCTAGGTTTATACCGTCCAATTATACAGTGTTTACAGATCCTATCAGCTTGAACCAGCCGGTTGCCACGTTTCACTATCAGGAGATGGCGAGTACTGCATATGTTATGATAGTGACTACTGCAATCATGTAAATAGCTCACTTCTTTTTACGTTTAAATTCATTCCTGTAGTTATTGCTATTGCATTTATTGCTGTGTAACATACTTCTTCTATGATAAACATTATGCCTCGTACTGGAATAGGCAGATTCGACACGAGATTACAATCGCACTCATTCCCGTAGGTGAAACGTAGAGGACCGCCGTCCTTGTCAGTGATTAAATGATGCTGGAATTCCGGACCCCGCTCAAAGTGTGGTAACTAAAATCAAGAGTGGAAAACGGAACCAAAAAGATGCAGAGTCAGATAAGAAACTCCTTCAAAACTGGCTCGGAAATGTTACTTAAAATTCTGCAAAAAAAAAAAAAAAAAAAGCCCGAAAGATGTCCGAATTCGCAAAAAGAATAGGCAATTAAAAAAAGAAAGCCTTTAGTGTTGATTAAACGGTTTGACGCTGACCAGATCTGGTGTACTCATCTTCCGATGGGAACTGATGGACCATTGACTGACTCAGTGACATGTAATGCTTTTTTCTGTTAAAATTACATCGCTTCCACGCACCGCGACAGTCCCTTGGAGCGATGCCTACCCCATTCACGGATTGTCTTAGTGCGTGCATTGTGTCATAATTCATGAAAATTGTTCGACCCATGTGACGCTGTAAAAATATGGCGTTGTTAATTTTACACTGCTGGCAACATGACCAATAATAGACTGGGATCAAGTAGCGCTCAGCCGAGCTAATTCCCACGGGAAATTTAGCCTGAAATGCTATCGCACCAACATACCCAGACAAATTTTAAGTTCACTTCTAGTGAGTCCACTTTATAACGAGTTCACAGACTCACTGTGCTGCCGATGGCCCAGAATCGAATTTTACAAACTAATTGTTTCCCGTGCTTCCTTTAGTTTCTCCTTTATCAATTAAGGCACTCCTCGCAAAAGTGCACTCCAAGAGAATGGGGGAAGAAAGCGGCAAAATTCTTTTTGTAGAACCGTCAAAAGACAGTAAAACTGCTCGAAGCACATGTAACTTGGCCAAGCAGGTGTAAAATTTATTCAAATAAACGTAGTACATGTTTGACAACAGCTCCAGTAGATTGTGAAAATCAACTGAATAGGTAGTTCAGCTAAAAGACTTTGGTGATGAATTCCGAAGTAGCAATGCTGCATGTCAGGGAAGGCCCACAGAGTGAAAACAAGGAATTCTAGCTAAGGGTTCTTAGCTGTTTACAGCTCGAATTGTTTACCGCTTCCCCCACGTACACGTGTCTTCTTTTCGAATCTTCTCCTACCTCAAATTTACACTAAAAAAGTGATCAGATTTTTGAAAAAAAAA